TTTTTTTTACTTAGCAACATTATTTCTTTTAGTGGACAAGGATGGCATTTAGAATGGCCACACAAAAAAGTGGACAAGGGTGCCTATGCCTTCGTGGTCACCTTAGAATAGCATTTTACACATTTATTTATTTTGCTATTTAATTTTATTTTGCTCCCTATCCAAAAATCCTGGTGCAGCTTAAGAGACATTTTGAAATGATAAGTTTGTCCAGAGTCTCACTTTTGAATAAACATAAGATCTAAATCAAATCAATACATAAAAGGAAATAACATATTACAGTATAAAACACAACTGCATCACAAATTGCAAAGCTCAGTAAGATCAGGCTTTAAACTGGTGGTGGTTCTTGTACTGGGGGCTTGGCCCACTCACCCCAAAATTGGATACTCCATCCTACATGAGCATAACCCATGTTTTAAACAACTTATCAGCCCATGGTTTGGAAAAGCAAGGTAATCAAATCAGTTTTTAATAAATATATACCTGCGTCCCATTAAAACACTGAAGAGATAGTGTGAGTGGGGCAAGGCTCATTGAGGGGAGAAAGGAGAAGCCCCAGGTTTGTTTTTTAAAAATATTTTTAATTAAAAAATATTTTTTTAAAAAATAATTTATTTTTTCTTTTTCAATTTTCCTTTTTTGGAAAAATCACATCTTGCCAAATTTTCACTTAAACCACATGGAACTATATACATGTTAATACATTGTAATTTAAAGGTATAATGTTAATTTTGCTAGATGTTTATTTAAATTAATTAATTAATTTCTATCCCACCTTTCTCCATGAAGGGACCCAAGGCAGCTCACAAATAAAATTCTAAAAAACAATATCACAACAAAACAATTAAAAACATTAGCTAAAAACAATATAAAATACAAACATTAAAACCACAATACCCATATAGAATCCATCCCATAATTTTGCATTATGCATTAAAAGCCTGCCTGAAAAGAGCTGTTTTTGCCTGACGGCAAAAGGCAAGAAAGGAGGGGGCCAGCCTTACTTCTTGTATTTTGGGGTTGAGACTGCCATGGTTGCCTTGACCGACGATCTGCGTCT